CTGGGCACCCTGTGCCAGCACCTCAGCACCCTCACAGGGAAGAGCTTCTGCCCAAGAGCTCATCTCAGTCTCCCCTCTGGCAGGTTCAAGCCATTCCCCTTGTCCTGTCCCTACAGGCCCTTGCCCTGTCCCTACAGGCCCTTGCCCAAAGCCCCTCTTCAAAGACCACAGGAACCCTCCCGGCCCTGCCATGCTCCAATCCATGAGAAGCAGACCCCATGTGTGCTGAGCCAGGAAGCAGAATAGGCCAGGCCCAGGGAGCATGAGCTCAGTAGCTGGGGGGTTAATCCTGTTCTCATAGAGTAAATCACAGTATGCACTTGAGCAGAGGTGGAGAGAATGGCGTAGAGGTGTAGGAAGAGGAAGAAGAAACCGCATTGCATTATCCCAGGTTTTTAGTATCACATGCTGATGCTAAACTTGGGTGAAGGGTTGTGTGTTCAGCAAAGGTGGGGGAAGATGTTAAAACAGGCTCTGTGGGGGAAACTTGCAGCCACGCAGGGCTCCGGGCGTTTGAGTTTGTGGATTGGCAAATCCTCTGATGAATAATGGGGGAAGTCTTGCTTGTCTACACAGCAAAACACATCACTCGTGCTACAGGAATGCATTTTATGGCTCCAAAGAAAGGAAAATGTTCCCTAAAGGGAGCTGGCTTCCAAGAGGAGGACTGCTGCCCTTTGCTTTGTAGCAGGTATATATATAAGCTGTCTTTGTAATGCATTGCAACAGCTCAGTAAAACATCACCCTGGCACAATGCTACCAAAAGAGGAAGCTGTGAAATAAGGGAACATGTTGCTCATTCTTTCATGGTCTGGCAATGGCAGCGGGAAGCGTGACAGCACGTGATGGAGCGGTGTGAACGTGACTGCAGGGGCAGGCGCAGTGCTGGCAGCCGGGCACAGGGTACCACGGATGCTGTTAACCTGTCCCTCTGCTGCGCAGGAGAGTTTGGAGAGATCTGCCGGGGGTGCCTGAAGCTGCCCAGCAAGCGGGAGCTGCCGGTGGCGATCCAGACCCTGCGGGCAGGGTGCTCGGAGAAGCAGCAGCGTTCCTTCCTGGCAGAGGCGTGCACCATGGGCCAGTTCGATCACTCCAATGTCATCCGCCTGGAGGGGGTCATCACCAGAGGTAAGGGGGGACACGGGCACAGCCCAAGCCACGTGCAGTGGAGGAAGCGTGCTCGAGCTGTCGCTTTGGAGCGATGACCTGGTGCAATAGTGTTGGCTCCAGAAAGGAGGGTTTTTCTTCGTGTATTCCCTATTTTAGCGTTCTGCTGATTAATAAAATGCTCACAGCTAGATTAATACATCCAAGGAGTGGGACTGGCTTAAGAGCAAAACTGTGCACTCTTAATAAAAGCAAATTGAAGTGAGGTTCTGTCAGTAAAACAGATGACTCCGCTCCCGGCTCTTGTTATGTGCTGGACTACTCTGCGGCTGCTGTAGTTAAATGGATATCCATGTAAATCCAAAGCAACGTGAGCAGCTCTGCTGATTTTAACTGGCCTTTTCATTAGGTAAGGAAGTATTTCTGTTCTGAGCCTTGGGCTGAGCTGGTTGCTTTTGCCTTTCACTGGGTAGTGCTGTTCTCCTTCGTGATGTGGTTTAGTGTCCTGATAAAAGGAGCATCTAGTGGGAACCCAGCTGGGAGAGACAGGAAAACCTCGGACCCACTGCTCATTGAAAACTATCTTGAGATGAAGCCCTTGTCTTCCTTACTAGCCAGGCAGCCCAGGCTGAGCATGCTGGACATTAGCACCCCGGTTTCTAACACCCGCAGTGTCAGAACTGCCTGAGCCATGGGCAGGACTCACGCAGTGCTCCTTGTGTGTCCATGCAGGGAGCACCATGATGATAGTGATGGAGTACATGGGGAATGGTGTGCTGGACTCTTTTCTCAGGGTGAGTGCTGTGGGAGCTGGTGGTAACTGGGGTCTGCCACCCTCCCAGGCTCTGCTGGGGAGGCCCCTTGGTTTGGGCATTGTTCACCTTCAGCTTTTCCTCCTCTCTTCATACAGAAACATGAGGGACAGTTCACGGCCACCCAGCTGGTTTGCATGCTGCAGGGGATTGCCTCTGGCATGAAGTACCTGGCAGAGATGGGTTACATACACAAAAACCTGGCTGCCCACAAAGTCCTCGTGAACAGCAGCCTGGCTTGCAAAATAACTGGTTTCAGACGGCCACAAGAGGATAAGATGGAGACCATCTTCTCCACCATGGTAAGATGCATTTCTAGACTCGGTTGTCAACGTTCCTTGAAGGCAAAAGGCTGTCAGAACAGCTATAAAACCTCTGCAGAGGTGGATCTCCCTGGCTGTAGTACACAGCTATGGCCAGGTGTGTTTGGACAGAGGACAGAGGGCTTTGCAGCCTGCTCTAAATGTTGAATAAGGATCAAATCCAAAGCCAGCCAGCTTCCGCAGGTGGAGTTAATAAGACATACAGCAATTCTACTCCAGAACCAGTATTTTTCCCAGGCTCCCGTTTCCTTCCTCATGTATAAATGCTGGCTCTGCATCTTAACAGCTTCTTCCTCAGCTAGAAAACAAATGCATTTAGCCAGAGAATTGCACGGAGCTGCCCAGCTCCGCTTTTCCCATCCTCTGGCCGGAGCCCTGCTGCATGTCTGCGTGAACTGGCAGAGGCACTGGGTGGCTGGAGGCAGCCCTGGCAACCTCAGGCTTCCTCCTGTCTGTTTTATCACTTGTAATGAAATTCATGGCTTTCAATTAAGAATTTAAGTCCTGCTTGATTCACTCTTGTGCCTCGTCAACGCTGCCAGGCAGGGCAGCTCCCGAGTGACTGTGAGAGCCCTTGGGCAGGGAGCTGGGCAGGCACCCCATGGGCTCCCCAGACATGCAGCCCCTCGCTCTCCCTCCCTGCTTCTTTCACACCCCTCTTGTGAGAGTGCATCAACGCATTTTGAACTGCAGAGCAACAGGATGTATTTCGTTTGGTACCAGCTGGGGCTGTTAGTGCCAGGCATTAACCAGGCATTAATAATTTAAAGAGCATCAATTGCTCAATCAAATGAGCACTTACTGTTTGCAGGGAGCGTTGGGCAGCGCTAAGGAGGCAGCAGCTGATGTGTGCTGCCTGCAGGGACCCCGTGCTCGTGTCCCAGTGCAGGGTATGGGTGGCCCAGGGGAAAAGCCTGTTATAGAGGGTTCAGCCCATGTTCTGCTGGGATCTGCAGCCGTTTGCCAGCTCTGAGCAGGCCAGTGGTGGAAGGAGTCCTGGGAAACCCTTTCAGCCATTATCACTAGTGCAGGGGCATTGCTCAGTGTGCTCTGCAGGGAGAGCTCTGCTGTTCCAGAGAGTCCCTGGCGTAGGTGCCCCCCGTGCTGGTCATGGTGAGTGTTGTCTGCAGAGCTGTAGCTTGTGTCATGAAGCTCTTTGGTGCTGTCATGCTGCTGGGTACGGAGCACCCGCTGAGCAAGGGCGATGGAGAGCTCAGCAGGAGCCCTGGCTTCTCCCACCGTGGGGCTGTGGCTTTGGGTCAAGGTCTGCCTGCTGTTAATGACAATTAGCTGTGGTCTGTGACCTGCTTCCACTAGTGCAACCAGAGGGCTCTGCAGACAGCGAGATGGGGATTACTAATCACAGGAGAACAAACCAGGGTGGAAGGACTGTGTGTTTGCACAGCACTGAAATGCTTTTCATTAAATATTAAGGTATAAAATGCCATCAGCTCTTCCCAGAGACATTTTCCTCTCCCATTAATATTTTAGGACTTGCATACAGTGGCATGGCTGTTTTCAAATAAACTGAGGCTAAAGTTTTCTGTTAGTACTAAACCTACACGTGGCACATGGGCCTGCTTGGTGTCTGCCCTGTGATGCTGCGCAGGGCATGATGAAGAGCTGCAGGTAGATGAGCTACATCCTGCTCATCATTTCTCCCCTTCTCCCCATGCAGCGTGGGAAGAGCCTGGTGCTGTGGTCAGCCCCCGAAGCCATCCAGTATCACCACTTCAGTCCAGCCAGTGAGCTTCGGCATCGTCATGTGGGAGGTCATGTCCTTCGGCGAGCGGCCCTACTGGGACATGTCCAACCAGGACGTGAGTCCCCGTGGCTGCGCGGTAGATGATGGTGTTGCCATCGCTGATGGTGTGGAGATGGCTCTGTGGGGTGTGGAGGAGCTGCTGCTGCTCCCAATGTGGGGTATGTGTGCCCCAGGGGTTTGCCTTCACTGGGGTCCCATCTCCTCACCTCCTGCTCCTTCGGCGAGCGGCCCTACTGGGACATGTCCAACCAGGACGTGAGTCCCCGTGGCTGCGCGGTAGATGATGGTGTTGCCATCGCTGATGGTGTGGAGATGGCTCTGTGGGGTGTGGAGGAGCTGCTGCTGCTCCCAATGTGGGGTATGTGTGCCCCAGGGGTTTGCCTTCACTGGGGTCCCATCTCCTCACCTCCTGCTCCCTTGTGCACCGCAGGTGATGAAGGCTGTGGAGGACGGGTTCCGCCTGCCCGCCCCGGTGAACTGCCAGCCACCCCTGCACCAGCTCATGCTCGACTGCTGGCAGAAGGACCGCAGCCAGAGACCCAAGTTCTCGCACATCCACAACATCCTCAGCAAGTTAGTGCAGAGCCCGGAGCCCCCAAAGTGCCCCAGCTCCACGTGCACCAGGTGACCACGCTCTTGCTTTGCTGCCTGCTGTTCTTCGCCTGCCGGGTCCCACCTCAGGCGTGCCGTGTTCTCCATCCTCACCCCCCTGTTTTGTTATCAGGTCCCACAGCACGTCCATCCCCCTCACCGAGCGAACCTTCTCAGCCTTCCCATCTTTCAGCTCCGTAGGCGAGTGGCTGGAAGCGATAGAAATGGGCAGGTACAAAGACAACTTCACTGCTGCGGGCTACTGCTACCTGGAATCGGTGGCCAGGATGACAGCCCAGTAAGTGAACTGGTTTCGTGGCTGTAACCTTGTGTCACTGGGTGCAGCACGAGTGAGCTCTGCTTTGCGGTTAGTCGGGCATCACTCAACAAGAGGACAGGTCTTCCAAAATCTGTCTTTAAGAGCTCACTGGTGCGGGTTGGGCTGCATGTGTTGTGCATCTCAGTTGCTGGTTTTTGAAGCTGAGATTTAAACCTGGAGTTTGTGACTTTGGAGATTGGAAAGGGACTTTGGGCAAAGGCCGGTAGGGGCAGGCCAAGGGGGAATGGCTTTAAACTGAAAGAGGGTAGATTTAGATTCTTGGGACAACAGGTTGGGGCTTTCTTACTGTGGCAGGTCTGAAACCTGCACGGCCCTTGCCTGGGAACCGTTGTGTTGGAGCATTTTAAGGCTGAGGCTCGTTTTCCGTGGCTGCAGGGACCTCCTGAGCCTGGGCATCACGCTGGCGGAGCACCAGAGCACCATCCTGAGCGGGATCCAGACGCTGCGGGCGCAGGTGATCCAGATGCATGGCCGAGGCGTGCAGGTGTGAAGCAGAGCTCCGCAGCCATGCAGAGCCCTGACCCGGGAGCAGGCGCTGCCCAGCCCCGCACCGGACCAGAGGGGAGCACCAGAGCACCATCCTGAGCGGGATCCAGACGCTGCGGGCGCAGGTGATCCAGATGCATGGCCGAGGCGTGCAGGTGTGAAGCAGAGCTCCGCAGCCATGCAGAGCCCTGACCCGGGAGCAGGCGCTGCCCAGCCCCGCACCGGACCAGAGGAGGGATGTACTGCTGCCAAACCAGTCATTCCGTGTGGCAAGAGAGCAGGGCGTCAGGAAGCCAAGGGTTCCCGGGATGTGCCTCGCTGGATGTGGCTCTCCCTTAGCACTGTTTGTGTGATGAGTCAAACTGATGATGCCATTTCACATGGTGACTGGGTGAACAGGGTGGATGGACGTTTGTGCACTGTCTTAATCCAGAGCTGACAGCGTTTTCGTACCTAGCATCCTACTGGTGAGATCCATGGGTATTTTTATACAAGCTGACATGTTCAGGCAACCCCACAAGGAGCTTTTTATTGCTTTTATTTATAGAGACCGGAGCATAGCTCCCACCCAGCGCCCAACTTCTGGAAGGTGACTTTCTCCATCTGCTGTGCTGAAGGAAACTCTTTGCCAGCCACCTCCCTTCTGCTCTGAGTTACTTCCCTGCGTCTTGACGCCACAGTTGATGAACAAAACCAAAATACTCTCCACTAAAGTGCAGAGCAAATGGTGCTGAATGTTTCTAAGGCTCTTGACGAGACAACTTAAGGGGAAGAAATGAAAAGCTCTGATGAAGAGAGCCATAACCAGGAGAGGTCAGGCAGCAGGGCCCTTGGGCTGCCCTGCTGATGCTCTCAGCCTTTGGTGCAGGTCCCAGTCCCTTGTTTTACTGTTGGAGCCCAGCAGCGGGGTGGGAACGTGCAGACCAGAGCAGGAGCAGGCAGCATGTCTGCCGTGTTAGGAACAGCACTAATTCAACCCCCAGCAGCAGCAGGAGCCTCCCGGTTCAGCCAGGAATGGGATGGAAACCCAGGAATTGGTTTGGGGTCAGAGAGACACCAGGCAAGGCTGTGCTCTGGGGGGATGCTTCACATATCCTCACTGCAGTGTACCCGTGGCCGCTGGAAGGGCCACCTTAGCTGTGGTGAGCGCTCTTCCCTTCCTCCTCCAGTTGCGCCATGCCTGGCCGGGAGCAGGGAATGCCTGGCTCCGCCGTGCCAGGGCAGGTTTCCCACCTCACATTACCGGCTGGGCAGAGCTCCAGCCCACAGCACGTCCCACAGCACCCACCGCCTCTGCAGTGGGGTGCACCCCAGGTCTCTGGGTGTCCTCTGGTTGCTGGAGGGACCACGCACTGCAGCTGGGTGCTGGGGCTTGGGCAGAACTGATCCCTGCATCTGTGGGATCCCTGGAGTCCTGCTGTGCAATCCAGGGCACGTCAGCACTTTACTTGCTGCAGCGGGAGCACGGTACTGCCTGCCTTGCACGCTGGCAGTTCCCACTGCTGCAGGCCTGATCCCTGACAGAAGACATAAATAGCATCTACTTAATAATACAAGTTTCCTTGAAGTTAGTTAATTAAATGGGTCTTTGCAGCTTTGTACGGAGTTTTGTAGGCCTTTTATTGCCATCTGTAAGTATTGCAAGTGAATTATTGATGATGAAAGGCAAAGATTTACAAAGGGGGATGCTGTGGGAGACGTTCACAGCGTGGCTGGAAATCTGTTGGAGTCGGATCCTCCTATTAGCCTGCTCTGAGAGGATGAGGAGCTAAATGATGGTTGAGAGAAAGGCCTTAAGTGTTGGCACTTAAATGTTCCGTCCTGGTCAAGCAGAGCAGCATGCCCATGGGCACTGGTGGCAGTGGTAAACAAGCTCTCTCCTTCCTGCCCCCTCTGCACTTTAAACAACGTTCCCCAGTGTCACTTGGTTGGTTTTATAGCAGAAATAACTTGGGTTTAAGTTGGGCCCTTGCCCGGTCTGGTTGGTCACTCACCATCCCACTGTTTCTCACCCAAAAGAGTAATAATGGTGAACCGACACCTTCATTTGGTAGAAATGCCAGATCCTGAGGATCAAGTGCAATTTGTATGCTCTTTATGTTTACATTTTATCGATGCAGAAAGTATATTATAGTTCTCTAGGCAGGGAGTTGAACCAACTTGATTCTGGATCCTCTCTCCCATCTCCCTGCTCTGCTCCTGTCCCTTGGGATTTCCAGCCTCCTGTGCTGGGATGCAGGGAGCTGTGTTGGGAGGTCATTGCTAGATAGGCTTGCTCCATGCAGCTGCTCTCAGGAAGGTCCAGGGGAAGTCCAGGGCTTTGGGACAAGGTGGCAGAGTGCCTCAGCATTTGGGAAGTGGACTTTGCTGTGAGCAAACCCCCCAGCACAGACCAGAGTTACGGGTGAGAGGAGGCACATCCTGCTCTCAGACCTGCTCCTTAGTCCCTCTGAGCATTGCCTGGCTGGAGAGAGAAACCTCAGCACAGCTTATCTGGGCTCATGGCAGTTTCTCTGGGGCTACAGGGACCGGTGGCTTCCCAGGAGCCGTGGGTCCCTCGGGAAGCTGCTGTGGCCATGCAGGCAGGGGTCCCTGCTCTCCTAAGGGAGCTGAGCTCTGCGTGGGGCTGGCGGCCCCACAGCTTCCCAGGCCATTTGCTTGTGTAGAATCATTGAATAGTTTGAGTTGGAAGGGACCTTAAGATCACCCAGTTCCAACCCCCCGTGTGGTTGTACAATGCTAGAATAATCCAAGTAAAAATGAGACCATCTTTCAATCACTGCTTTAGCATTTCCCCCACTGAATTAGGCTCCCTCCATTCTCTAGCTCAATCAGAACTGAAGGGGTAATTGCTTTGTGTCTCTCTAGCTGTTCCCAAAAGGAATTCAGCGTTTAATTACTTTTCTGACTTACTCTGCTGGGAGACTTGGATGTGGCACTTCAGAAAGCTGGTTCTGTGGACGGGACCATGCTCTAACTCAGCAGAAACAAGAGGTATTTGCTTTGCTGGCCTCTCCTTCAAGAAAGAAAAGGAGAAGCACATAATGGAAGTCTGCTTTCTAGCCTGGCTTGTTGCAGCAATAAACACTTTTAATTGAGCTCCTCATCAACACTGGAGATAATAAAATGAGCAGATGAAGCTATAGATTGTTGTTATGATTTTAAAATTAACTCGCAGCCTCTCAGCACCTCTCTTTGGGGAAGCATTCAATGCCTTATAATTAAATTAGTTAGCAACACTGTTTTGAAGCTGCTTGACGGAGGGAAATGCCTCAAAATGAGTTTGGTCTCTTTGGCCATCCAGCCTCTGACATGGTACAAGGCTCCTTCCTCCGTCTTCGGTGTGGGGAAGCCCTGGTACCATTGGTGCTAGTAAGGGTTCAGGGCAGGCTGACCACACTTGCCTTCTCTGCAGCAGCATTAGGGTTACTGGGCTTGTTCAGAGAAGAAGAGAGTAATGAGTGTTCTGTGACCTGAGGGCTTTGCTGGAGCTGATAAATGCAGTTACATGAGGATACGATTTTAGATGTTCAGGCGGAGTAGAGGCCAGTTGGGAATTAGAGGAGCGGAGCAAACGTGTGTGTCTAATCTCATGTGTGGACAGGACCATGGGCCGTTCTTGCACTGGATGCAGTCCTGATCCCAGCAATGTCCCGTTGGCTGTTGGTGCCTTGGACTGTAAAGCAGGATGCAGTTCCCATCATGTGCCCTCTGGAAGAGCAGGGCAGCAGCACTGCTGTCAGCAGCCAAAGGCTGGGTGCTTTTGGAGGGGCAGCAACACTGACCTGGCATCCAGCCTCGTGCCACCAGTGTCTGGGAGGTTGGACACTGCCCTTTGCTGCCCTGATGCAGTAGCAGGAAACCTCCTGTTTCTGGGCTTTGCTTGATATTCCCCATGGGAACATCTCCATTAGATGTTGGAGCGAGTCCAGTGGAGGCCATGGAGATGCTGCAATGGCTCTGGATCAGCCTGGAGAAGAGAAGGCTCCTTAAGGGGAGACCTTAGAGCAGCTCCAGTGCCTAAAGGGGCTCCGGGAAACCTGGAGAGGGGCTTTGGACAAGGGCCTGTAGGGACAGGACAAGGGGAATGGCTTTAACCTGCCCGAGGGGAGATTGAGATGAGCTCTGAGGCAGAAGCTCTTCCCTGTGAGGGTGCTGAGGTGCTGGCACAGGGTGCCCAGAGAAGCTGTGGCTGCCCCATCCCTGGCAGTGTTCAAGGCCAGGTTGGACACAGGGGCTTGGAGCATCACCCTGCAGCACCCTCCTTGCATGAAACCAAAACTGGAATCAAGTTGGTTCAGCTCCAGATGCTTTTTGATATTCATTAACCACGTGTTATATACTGTAAATACATACTTGAGAAGTCAATATATATTTTTCTAAGCTTGAAACAAATGTACTATAATATCATAAGGGACACTGTGTGCATTTCATGTTTGAACTATAGTCAGACATCTCCAGGGAATCACAGTTGGTTTCAAATAATACTACTACTAATAAATGGTGATAAAGGTCTATAGACATTTTTGTTAATTTTGTATTTATTGACCTATGTTTGAAGATTGCAATAATGAAATATCCAAATACCGAAGTAAAACCAACCACCAATTCTGCCCTGGCTTGTCTGTGTGGGTCATTTCAGCTGTTCTGATGCCAAGTACCACTGCAGCAAGGGTAGTAAGTGTCAGGTAAGGAACAGTTTTAGTGGCAGCAAGGTGTGAAATGGTGCATATTTTATTAAATAGCACGTATGCCAAGATGGGAACTGATTGCTCCTGTTGAGGAGGTGGAATTCGGGGTGGTGGTTTCTTACTGTTAACACTTTGTCGGGGAGGGGAAACATTATTGAACTAGTACAGCATGTGTGTTTTGTGGACATAAAGGTCCCTGGGTTGGCCTGTGAGGCCAGATGCTGTTGGCTCAGGCAGGAATCCCTCCCATCACCTGGAGGACCAGATAACCTTGGAAGCACTCACAGCGTGGAGCTGTCAATACAAGCGCCAT